ACAGGGATTTGAACTTATGACTTTTCCACTGAGCTACATCTCCAGTTCTTTTTATTTTGAGACAGGGTCTTGCTAAGTTGCCCAGCCTGGACTCCCAACTTTTCCATCCTCCTGCTTTAGCCTGCCAGGGTTCTGGGATTACATGGATGCACCACCATGCCCAGCCCAGAGGCCTCTTAAGTAGATTAAAAGCTGCTTTCTCTTGTCTCCTCCCATGTTTAAATCAGTGTCCACGGCTGTTCAGAGACAGATCTCGGTGTGTGGCCGCTGGGCCAGCACCTGCTCCCGAGCTGGGAAGCTGCTGGAGCCGCAGAACTTGGGTCGGGAAACAGACAGGACCCAGCCTCCTGTGCTTCGACAGATGGTGGTGTCTCAAGGTGGTGACCCCTGGAAGACAGCCTTCAGCCGTGTATGGCCATCTTGTCTGGAGATGTCCCCGTGACAGCAGACATGGATGCTTTTGTCTCCTTTTCAAACGGAACAGACGGAAGATCCCCCTGCCCCAGCTCTTTGGGGTCCACAGGTGTCTCTGGCAGATTCCAGGCTCAGGTGGGGGTGTCTTCCTCTGCCTCCTGGACAGCCTGGATCTCGGGGTGTCCGGTGTTCCATGCAGTGCAGATCTGCTGGTCTCCCCAGGTCAAAGCAGTTCCCTTACGAAGGTCACTGTTTCCAACTTTGGGGTAACTAATGGGAGAAAGTCAATAATTTTTCGAAGCTTGATGAATTTTAATATGATCACAGCATTTATAGTTCTGCAGGGTGCACTAAGTATGCATTGCAGTATGTGCTTGTGAGCGTGATACACAATTTATAGATTTACAATCGAGGACAGGGTCTGCAGGTTCCTCATGCCTCGTCGGGTGGGTCCCCCACTGGGGAGAAGCAGCCAGGCCCTGCGAGCTCAGCATGGCATCCGACTGAGTGCTACCCCTCCGTGTATGGGTGTGCCAAGGAGCCAACAGGAGCTCTCCCCAGAGAGGACAGAAGAGTGCACTCAGGCCTGTGTACAGGTGCACAGGGAGGCCCCAGCCCCAGCCCACTCACAGAGTTGCTACATCCCCAGGAGCGACAGTCATTCCCTGAATTCGACCCCTGGGGAAGTGGACATCCACTTTCCAGTGTGAGGCCAGCACCTGAGGCTGCCCATCTGACTGTTCCATGTCCGCCAGGAGCACAGATCCAGATGCCTCAGTTTCTTTGGGGGTTTGCTTGAGCTCAAGATAGGCACTGGGCCCAAAGCCACACCTGCTGCGGGTGCCACGTCTCATGACCGATCGGCACAGGGCTGGAGAACCAGCCCACACACGGCGGCTGCACAACCCTGCTGTCACGGGGCTGCTCCTCCCTCTGCTCACTTCACCTCTTCCTAGACTTTCCCTTCCACGGCTGTGAAGCTACGGATCCTTCCTAATCAACCGTGTGCATACTCTTCTCTTTTGCAGGCCGCAAAGCTGAGGTCAGTGGAGTTTGTCCTAGCGCATCTGAGCAGTTCTCGCGTGACCACATTCGGTGATGAAGGGAAAACGCCCCCTAGCGCCCTTCCTTGGTCACGACCCCCTACTCGGCAGCTGTGCCGGGTTAGGCCTCCGCAATAAGCAGCTTCACACGCAGGCTTATGCCAAGTGCGAAGCTGGCAGGGGCTTTGCTCTTGGGAATCTCAAGGACCAAGGTGGAAGGTGACTTTCTCGATGAGGTGCCCCCATCATCTAGGTCGGGGCAAGGAGTCTACAGGGTCTCACACGGTGGCGGGGACCTCACGTGTGCTCTCTGGTTAGAACCAGCCCCGGGCCCCACCCTCCACTTCCCAGCGGAGAAGCTGACACCAATGACATTGGTGAGCTGCACGACATGCACCACCTGTCGGCCGCCCGGCACAGTTCCAGGTCCTTGGGAAGGTGACAGCCTGCCCTACCAGAGCCCACTCTGGATTCCCCTCTGTGACCTCGTGTCACCAACCCCATCAGAAGCCACCGCTGCTTGTGGGGGACTCACAGGCTATGGGGATCATCAGCCTGGAGCGTCCTAAAATTTGAGGAGGGGAGTTCCCAGAAGAACTCGATCATGGGCCCCAAAAATGAGCCGTCTGGGTTCCTGTGCTCTGGGGGAGAAGAGTTAAAAGTCAAAACGGGGAGAAAGTTGTGGAGCAGAGCTCCCAGAGCCCCCAGCCTCACCCCTCCTAGCACAGGCAGCAAAGGGAGGTCCTCACTTCCTGTTCCTCCTCCTCCAGGACGGAGCTTCCCTTCCCCAGCTGAGGGAAGAACTAGGGGCTGAAAAGCGCTGCAGGTGACACTGAGCCCACAGTGGGCTTTCCCTTGGGACTCCAGAGGGAAAGCCACAAGGACAAGGCCAGAGATAAGCCAGGCTCCCAGGCCCGGTGTGCACGGCACACGGTGCTCAGCAGTGCCCGTTCCATGGTGACCTGTGCTCTTCAGCCACCCCCAGCCATCTGCCTTAGACCGGGCCTGGCTCCACCAGCCTCTCCGCGCCTCTCCTGGGGCCTCTCCGTCTGGCCTGGGAGCTCGGACCGCTCTATGCACACGGGGACAGCTCAGGCACAGGGGGTCTGGAACGCAGGCCCCTTCCAAACCACCTCACACGGAGCATCCCTTCAGGCCGGAGGACTCCGCACGCTGGGCATCACCGATGTGCGAGGACTCCGGTCCTCTGCACCAAGTCTCCATCTCTTCCTTGTCTCAGGTCTCCTGGGTCCTTACCCCCGGCTTCGGCTGGGCAGGTGTCAGGCGCTCACTCGCAGGCCTGCAGCCTGCCAGGCAGACAGAGAAGCCCGCCGGAGCCCCGCCCGGGAGCACCCCCAACAGCTTCTGCTGTCTTCCCAGTCCCTCATCAGGGCTCAAGAGTGAGCAGCCCCAGGGCTCCACAGCTGTCTGTCTCCTCCCTCCTTCACTTCCAGGATCTCAGGAGCCAGTCTGCTCCCCCAGGGGACTGTGGCCCTGGGGATTCCCTGCAGCCTTTGAGGAGCTTGGCAGGGTTGCTGACTTGGGACAAGTACAAGCCTCTCCTGGCCTCCACCTCCGCATATCCTGACTGCCTGGGCATTCCCGGACCTGAGCTCCCCAAGTCCCAGCTCTCATCTGCACTGCCCAAGACCTGTTCTTCTGTCCTTTCATAGGCTGGGGCGGGGAGCAGTAATCGGCATCTCCATAGCGCCCTGACCGCGCCGGAAGTGCAACAGGAAGTCACCCACCCTGTTGGGCGGCGCATGGGCAGAGGGAGGAGGAACGCTGACCCCGGAGCCTCCCACTCGCCCCAAACACCCCGGCTTAGATTCCTGGACTGCATGCTAGGGCACTTGTTCAGAACCGACAAAAGCTCCCATGCTCTCTCTCCATGGCTCCAGCGCAGGCTCCTCCAGCCGGGCGACCCAGGACACGGAGCTTGCTGTACCCCGAGGTCGTGTTTGTGGATTCAGTGCCAGGGCCACACCGGGCTATGCCGTGACTCCGGATGGGTCATGACCCGGCACTATGGCACCTCGGAATCCTCCTGGGAATATTGCATGGTCGTCAGGAGTCCCTGGCCTCAACTAATGCCCCGTGTGGTTTTTTCTCTCAGCAACACTCTGCTGGTTCTCTTACCATGAGCTTCCTGTGTTTCCAATTAGCTCTGCAGCCGCTGGAAAAGTGTTATCGCTCTCATTACATAATCATGACGAGCATGATTAGTGGTCACTGCTGGTTCAGACTGGAGAGGGGAGAAAAGCAGGAGAGGCAGAAGGAAAAGTAAGAACTAAAGAGAGAAGCAAAAGTGGATAAAAGCAGCTTTAAGAACAGAAAGATGATTCCAGTGGTAGAAGAATCAAGAGCTCACTTGCAGAGACACGGAAGACATGGAGGGGATGACGGGAGCCACAGCCCAGGGCAGGTGGAGAATGCCGGGTAGAAAGTGTATGGGAGGGGCTGGGGATTTGACTCAGTGGTTCTGCCGCCTGCCTCCCAAGTCCAAGGTCCCAAGTTCGATCTCTGGTACCACAAAAAATCAAAATCAAAAAATAAGGAAGGAAAGAAAGAAAGTAGGGGGAAAAAACAGAAGCAGGTTCTGCAGGCTCCTCCTGTAGAGCTGGGACAAGGAACAGGCTCCGTCCTCCTGCTCCCCACCCCGAAACAGCTTTCTTCTTCAACCTGAAAGGCTTGGATCACTGAATTCCAAAACCTGCCCAAGAGGGACATCGCATCATGCCAGCACACGCTGTCCCTGTGTCCCCAGAGGGCCCCGCTGGTTAACCCTTGCAGCAGGTCTACTGCAAGCTGAGAACAGACATCGATCTGCACAGTGCCTCCTGGACCTGTTGTCTCAGCAAGATGGTGAGTGCACACTGTGGAGGTAAAACTCCTGCAGCAAGAGAGAAGCAACCAGTGCATTCCCGGGCCCAGAGACAAGCAGGTGCCCCAGTCTTGTTTTGCACCCAGGTGTATGTCCAGGACTAATTATTTATATTTAAAAATGGGATTGCGTTATCCATAACTGTTGAAAAAATTTGTATTTCTTTATTAAACCAGTGTTATAGAAAAATTAGAAAACACTCCTCACAAAACAGGAATCTGCTAATGTTTATGACGGGTATTTACTTGTTGATGGATATTCCAAAGCACAAACCACACGTTTGACCCCGGGGGGTCACCTGCTTCCCCCACTTTGGCAGGAGGTAATAGGGCTTCTCGTGCTGAGCGAGATATAAAGGGTTGTGTTTTTGACACATTGTTCAGATATCACCCCCCCCCAGAATATGGGAATCGACTGGGCCAAAGACCCAGTGGAGAGGGGCGGAGGAGAGGAAGAGGACCTGCCTTCCCTTCCCAGCCGCTGTCTCCAGAGAGGCACCAAAGCCAGTCCCAGCTCCCTACCCCATCAGGCAGCAGCCTCGCAGCCTCTTATCGGAGGCTTCAGACGTGGCCACTAAGTCAGAGAACCCAACTGTGCGACCTGAACAATGTGATTCATCTCCCCAGTCTTAACCACAGAGCCACAGGCATTGTCTGAGTTTATTTGATGTCTTGGCTATGAAAATGATTCTGAGATTCAATAATCAGGAAGGATACTGCTGCCCAGAGAGCCATCATAACTGTCTGGTCAAAGAAAAGCCACAGTCGGTGCCCCTGAGGCTGGATGAAGGTTGGAGACCGGGAAACAGGCAAGGACAGGGGCCGTGCACGGTTCAGCATCAGTGTCATGGGCAGGGTGGAGCCTCTGGCATGGGGCTTGGCTTCGGTGTGTCCCCTGGAGGCCAGGGCTGGTCCTCAGTGTCCCTGCTCCATCGTCCGCTGGCTGCGTTCTGGGTGGAGGGTCTGCACACCTTCCTGGCAGCTTCTGTGTCGCTGGGCCGTGCTCTCCAGAGACAGAGGCCGGACATGGCTGTGGACAGGGCGCTTGTGGCAAGCCAGAGGGACCTCGCCACGCTCCATCGTGGGGACGGGGTATCAGGACAGCACGGGGCTCCTGGGACCTGCTAAAGCTGCACTTCCTGCCCAGCCGCAGTGTGGGGCTCCAGGCCTTCGCTGGTCTCGGGGGAGACCTGTCTTGCTTCTGGGGTGTCCTGTATATGCAGGGCCCTGCCTGCCAGCTTTCCTTTTCCATCATAGACCCAGCTCCCAGTACAGATGGGAAAGCGAATTTGCTGAGGCCACCAGCAGACTGGTAACAGCAGAAGACCAGGCACCAGGCCACCTGCCTGCTATGTGAGGTACCCACCTTGCAGGATGACCACAGGCAAAGCGCTCCTCCTGCACCCTCAGACCAGGGGAGATGGCAGGTGAGGAATCCCCGTCCCTCCCAGACCTGTGGGTTCCCATTTGGGTCCCCTCCCCACCTTCCAGGCCCAGACAGAGGGCATCCACTGCTATCAGGCGCTCTCAGTGTTTCTCTGCCAGCCAGACTCAGTCAGACCGCTGAGCTTTCTGAGTCATTCCCACAGGCAGAGGGCAATGGACAAACAAGGAAAGGGGTTTTCAAGCCCTGGAAACATCTGGTGTCACCTACCTGGCTAAATTGGCTGTGTGTGTCACTGTCAGCTTGCTGGGATCTCTGCCTTCCTCTATTCAAATGGCCAGAGCCGGGTGGGAAGAGCTTTTCAAGCCACTGAGGCCAACAAGAAATGCTTCATGCTTTTAAAATGACTTCTTTGGCTTTGTCCGTTGATGTGGCCATTGTACTCCAAGGCTCCACCGGAGGTGCGGAGGAAGAGGGATGAACGTGACCTGTCTGCTTACTGTGCGCCAGGAGCTTGACTCCAAGTCCCTCAGCCATCTCACGCGGCAGGCAGTGAGACCTCCGTAGCTCCAGTGCTTTAGGAAGACTCAGGCTCCCGTGGCTGTCGGTCCCTCGCCAAAGCCACCCTACGTCATCCTGGCTCACAAAGAAGGCACAGGCTTCGGCAGAACAGGCCCGGTCAACTTCAGCAGGAGAAATGTGGGTTCTCCTAACACCTTTCACTTTGCTTTGCTTTGTTGTTCTTTCTGTGTGAACCAGGTCTCAGCCTATCCAGGCACAGCTACACTTAGGGAAACCAGAAGTATCTATTAAAATCACATTTTTCCAATATAAAAATTCAAAGATCAGAGACCCAATCTCCCCTCCCCCCCAGAATCTCTGCCGCTGTTCACTCTGAATGTGGCTGGCCGCACAAGCCCATCCTGATTCAGAGGTTCCCGAAGGAGCGGCTGCCCGGAGCCCAGGGGCTCCCACCAACCTCCTCCCAATGGGAGGTCGAAGTGGGGGCGCCCACACCCTGTGCGCCAAGTCGCTTTCCCAAGAGCTCACCCCAGGCCCGGAGTCTCCACGTGAGGCTGCGATGAGACCCCTCTGTTCTACACCATGAAGGGCAGGCTGCACACTTGCTCTGTAGAGAGCTGGCTGGCCACATTCCCAGCTCAGCTCTGTGTGTGTGTGTGGTGCTGGGGACTGAACCAGGGCCCTTGCACTGACCTCCATCCTGGCCCTTTTTTCATGTTCTTATTGTGAGACAGAATCTCGTAAGTTACTAAGTTAGTTTAGGCTGAGCTCAGACCTATGATCCTCCTGCCTCAGCCTCCCAGAGTGCTGGGTTTACAGGCACAGCCCAGCTGTGTGTCAGCTTCATGAGCCAAGCTATCTCTGTCCCACCTCTGCTGCTGCTGCTGGAAAGAGGCCGTGACTCATACACAGATGAATAGCAGGGCTGCGTGCAAGGGAAACTTCACTTATGGACAGCGAAATTTGAATTTCATACACATTTCATAAATCATGAATTATTATTCTTTTGATTTTTCCCCCACTCATTATAAAATCACCGTAGCGCACAGGTTGTACCAAGAGGATTTTGCCTGCGGGCCACGGGCTGCAGTTTGGGGACCCATCCCGTCACCCCAATCTCAGCCAAGGCCCAGATTTGGACGATAGAAGAGCCAATTACCAGGCAGAAAGCTGGGCAGGGGGTGGAGGACATCAGTCTGCGCACACAGTAGGTCAGCAGTGAGGCAGGGACACACCTCCCACCCCTCCCGGAAGTGCTCACCGGAACTCAGCTCTGCTTCTCTGGCTGTGCAGAGCTGGACTACAGCAGCCAAATGCGGTTTAGCAGCTCCGGGTTCCTCTCTGTCCACCCGGTAGGTGACGCAGGTCGTCCCATAGCAGGTACAGACGCCCTCAGCATGGGGCAGGCGGGCAGCACAGTGCTGGGCAAGTGGTGTAGACCACGGGAAGGGGGGCACCAGGCGGGAAAGTCTGCCCGTGAACCCCACCTCCCACAGAGCCCCCACCACCGCACAGAGACGCCCACGCACCCGCCACACACCCCAGGCCACCTTTCTCTAAGGTGAAATTAGCTTCTCATGCCAGCTTTCACTTTGGGCGTTCATGCAGGATTTGTGTGCCTCCACGAGACCTGCTTGTTTGGGGAAATTTAATTATTTAAATGGGTGCCAACGAGAAGAAACCCGTTCCCCCCACCTGACCCCCGGCGCCATGGGGTGCTGGAGCCAAGCACTGTGGGCCCCAGCTGGAGCGCAACTTCTCCTGGTGACTGAGCGAGGCCGGAGGCCCGAGCCCAGGTCCTCCGTCCCCAGGGCTGGACAACGCCGTTCCCGTGAGGACTGAGGCATGGTGCCGGGCATCCCAGGGAAGACAGTCTCAAACACAGTTTCCGTCTCACTCTGTCCCCAGTGGGAAGACTCTAGGCAAGCTCTCTGCTGCTGTCCACACACACACACACACACACACACACACACACACACACACACACACACACACACACACCACTGCAGAGGATTGAACCCAGGGTGTATTGAGCTATATCCCCAGCCTTTTTTAATTTTGAGACAAGCTCTCACTCTGTTGCTCAGTGTGGTCTTGAACTTTGGGTCCTCCTGCCTCAGCCTCCTAAGTAGCAGGATTACAGTCACATGCTACTGTTCCAGTCTCCCGCTCTTGTATTTTTATTTCATTTTCTGTATGTATGAATGTTTGTGTTCTGGGTAGACAAGGAGATCTGTGTGTTTGGAGTGTAATTTACACCAGTAAGGTCTTGAGCGTGTTAGGCAATCACTGTAGAAATGCCTATGTGGCTGTAACCCTGTGACATCCTGTCTACGCGGGGACTGGACACTTCTTCAGCTCAGAAAGCTCCTCCTGTCCTGTCCTTTACCCTAATGCTACCTTATCCCTAATCCCTACACCACACCGGCTACACAGAAACACACAGTGCCCGTCTCTTCCACCGTCTCAGTCATTTAGGCCCTGCCGGAGCTGGCTCCTGGCAGAAGCAACAGTGGGAGGGCCTGTCAGAGGAGAGCTGCCCGGCCTGGCGGCCAGGAGCAGGGGCAGAAGGGAGGAGCGGGCTGCTGGGTGAACCCTTCCCGGCACAGGCCCCTCCTCCTAACCGCCTACTCAGCGCCGATGAACCACGATCCAGGCTCCTTCCACAGGTCCCACGGAGCACAGCAGGGTTTCGGGGTCACTCTCCATGTAAAGGTGGTTTAGTTTGCCTTTGCAGAGCTCTGTGAGTGCGCCTGTGGGTGGGGACTTCCTCCTGCGCTCCCGCCCCGCTGCTTGGCGGCTATGAGAGCAGAACGTGACACGCTCCAGGTGGTGGGCGCACGGGTGTTTCCGGTTTGGAGCATTTTATCCAAATTGCTGTGAAAAGGCAGCCCCGTGGACTTTTCCATTCCCGGCAGTGGTGTACGAGTTGGACATCCTCAGCCAGGTCGGGCGCAGTCGTTCCTCTCAGTGTGAGCCGCTCGGTGGAAAGGTAGCCGCTTCGCCTGTGGTTTCAGGTCGCAGCTCTCCGATGGCTGTGTCCAGCCCTTCTTCGCACAGCCGTTGGCCACTTGCCCATCTTCCTCCAGAGCATTGCTTGTCCCTTCTGACAAAATGGGTTTGGCTTGGTCCCTGCTTTTCAATCCAGGGCAGGGGTCTGACATTTTCAGGACGGAGAACCACGCCTGACGCGGGGGTGGTGCCGTGGCCATCAGGCCTGGAACTTCTGTGGCCCACTCGCCCCACCCCGTGGCGGGTGACGTCACCGCCCACGCAGCAGCACGGGGCGAGGCGCAGGCGCAGCACCCGTCAAGGGCTTGGGTGGAGTCCAGTCGGGCAGACGCAGGGGTTCACAGATGGAAGGCGATCTCCGCAGTCACGGTCAGGCCCAGGGAGAGGGGACCGCAATGTCACTCAGGCACAGGATGCAGCTCCTCGCTGTCCGGCCCGGTGGAAACATCAACGCTGCCTGCCGAAGTCGAGCGCCACCTCCAGCCCGGCGCCTACACTCCGCGAGCCTCAGTTTCCCCTCTGGGGAGGCACACACCTGCTGCAGGAGCGTCATCACCTAGAACTACCGTGGTGCAGGGCCTGTCTGTCCTGTGTCTGGCGTGTGGGGGGTGTGGACCCCTCGCTGCTCCGAGGGTTTCCAGAGACGCATGGAGGAGACCCGTGCTGCCTGGCGTGCACCTGTGTGCCTCCCCAATGACTGTTCTCTTTCTTTTTTTTTGCTTGTTTTTTGTTTTTTGCAGTATTGGGGACTAAACCCAGGGCCTTTGCACTGAGCCACATCCCCAGCCCTTTTTCATTTTTCTTTTTATTTTGAGACACGGGTTCACTGAGTTTCCTAGGCAGGACTCCAACTTGCGGTCCTCCTGCCTCAGCCTCCCAAGTTCTGGGATTACAGATGTGTGCCACCGTCATGCCTGGCCCAGCTGCCATTTCTGTACCACCCCTCCCACGTCTGTCTCAGCACTCTCTCTGGATGCTGGAGTGCACTGTGTCCAGGAGAGGAGCCCTGCGCTTGGTGAGCAAGGGGAATTGTGGGTGAGCACCACTCTCCACCAAGGTAACGCCCAGGAGCCGCACTCCCAAAACGGTGCTCAGGCTGAGGGCATTTGGTGTCTCGTCTGAGGCTCCACGCCCAGAAGAGTCAGGCTCGAGTTCCTGCGTGGGCTCTCCAGCCCGGCAAAGCCACCCGATGCTGTTATATCCACGGGGCCCTGCCGGTGCTCCTGGAAAGGCAGCAGAGCCGGAAAGAGAAGCCGCCCTCTTCCCGGGGTACCCGTATGCTGCACAGGACCTTTGGGGCAGTCATCTGTCGAGGGAAAGGATTCTGGCTTTATTTTTTTGCCTTGTAAGCTGTAAAAAGTGAACTCGAAATTCCGGAATGCACCTGCAGAGCCACTTCTAAAATTTTTTTTTCTTTGATGTTTACAAATCAGCGTGTCACTGCTGTTTCCGCCGTTTCCCAGTCTGGTGTTGAGCTGAGCTCCGGGGCCGGCACTTTCTGAAGGCCGTGCTCACAGGCTCCCCCTGTCCCCGGCTGTGGGTGGCCCTGCCCAGCCCTCTGCCCCCTGCCCAGGCCCAGGACCATCCAGGCCGAGTGACGGGGGAGCCCAGACTGGACCCTGGACAGAGAAGACTTGGGGGACATCAGACAGGGTCTGGGCCCGGGGCCCTACTCATGCACCAGCGCTGGCCATAAACTATGAAATGCACTGTGCTAAGATCAGGATGTTAACAATGGGACATTAGGTACCGAATGCATGGAACCTCTCTGTACCTCTCAATTTTTCCACAGATTTAAAACTCTTCTATAATAAAATTTTATTTTAAAGAAATGAAATTGATAATATATTTATTTTTCCCTGTATATCCAAAAGATTATGGTAACACATGGTCAGCATAGGCTATTTACTGAAGAGATAACTTGCATTCTTTTTTAATACTGCCTTTGAAATCCAATTCATATTTTTTACATTTATACCATGTCTCAGTGTGGATGCTTAAATTTCATCAGTTCATAAAACTTACAGTTAAAAAATAGATTCCCACACCCTAGTTGTTCCAAACATATTTACACATTATAATTTATGTTTATAAATGCTGATTTTTAAACCTCATTGAAATTAAATTTAAAATTCCATTCCTGCATTGCATTAGGGTCACTGGCCACACTTTGTCTAACACAGTGGATGGGGGATTTACCTCGGTGGTGCCCCACCTGCCTTGTAAGTGCAAGATCCTGAGTTCAGTCCCTGGTATCAAAAAACAAAAACAAAATAAAATGTGATCAATCCTGACTCTAAATATGCTTTCATCTTGGGCTTTAAATATATAGTCTGGTGGCATGTAAAGGTACAAGATCCCAGTAATGAATGTAACTGTACTGTGTACCTAGAATGTACCAATAAATTCAATTTAA